TGTGGAAAATGTGGTTGCAGGGCAGTCTCTTGGCACCAGTCACCATCTCTTCTCGGCAGATAATGCAGACATTATCCATGGCCTGGAGTTCCTCTGGGGTGGCATCTGGATAACTGGTGAGGACAGACCAAGGACCTGTCACGACGAGAGCGGGAGGCACAGGCACCTGGCACAGAGCTTGGGGGAGCAGCTAGGACCAGCCCACTTACAGTGTGTTCATGTTGCGGATGGCTCGGCGAGACATGATGGCGTCTGTCACAGCTTTCTTGAACTGCCTGAATGGATAGTTTCAGTGAAAGTTGGGGGATGGGAAGGGAGGGATCAGGTAGGGATCAGAGGCATGGTGGAGCTGGGCTAGGCTTACCTCATGGCCAGGTACATAGGACGGATGGCAAAGAGAGGGAAGGTGTGCACCTTGATCATGATGGTCATGAAAGCCATGTATAACAGAACCTTGATGAAGCCTAGGGGCAAGGAGGGGTGCAGAGAGCAGCCAGTCACAGGGCCTGGAAGGCACAGCTGGGGATGCTGGTCCAGGTCCGGGGAGGCCCAGGCTCTTCTCACCTGTAAACAGCTCCGTATAGAGCATGTACACGGCCTTATTGTCCCACGGGTTCTCGCTCTGGAGGTCCACGGAGTGCAGCACATACTTGATGAAGATGGTGAGCACCATGGTCATCAGGATGGCATACTGGAGGTAGGAGGGAAGGGGAGACATAAATATGCAGCTCTCTCTTGCTCCAGCCACTCTCTGCTACCCCTGGGCCTTTGCAGAGCAAGGTGCAATGGTACATGCCCAGGATTGGACACAGCTGGGGGGGTCATCCAGCTCTTCCACTCCCTAGGTGGTGTGAATGGCAACTCACTAGCACTCTCTGAACCTCAGTTTGCTTGTCTAAAATGACAGAATTAACTATTCCTTTACAACAGTGTTGCTTTGCATTAAAAGATGCAGGTCAAGTGCTCAGCACAGGGCTGGGCACACAGTTAAGCACTCAACAAACATGAGCTGTTGTCACATGAACACATTCTTCCTCTGCCAGGGACACCCCCCCCCCAGTTGTCAATCAGGCTAACTCCTTTTGTCCATCATCAGCCAATTCCTCTGGCATCAACTTCCCAGAAGGCTTCCCTGAGCACCAGGTCAGGGCTCTTCCTCCAAAGCACCTCTTTCTGTGCCTTCCCCACTCTCCTAGGAATGAGCGTGTAGAGGGCAGAGGCACGGACCGATGGCTGGCTGCTCCTTGGTGGCCCCCATGGGGCTGGCCATAGAACAGGTGTTCAGTAAGGGTTTGCTGGGTTATTCAAAGCACATGCAGTGCCACCTCAGGCTTGTCCTCCCAACCTCCCAAGCCAGTTTTACCTCAAAGCCAAACACCAGCTGCACAGAGGCCCCACGGGTCAGGATGCTGTGATAGGCATGGCTGACGAAGAGGAAATCCAGAATACCCAGGAGGAACATAAGGGCTGTGGGGACCCCCCCAAATGGGGGGTTGGTTGGGTCAGTCCACAGACTGACAACCACTTCCTGCACTAAGAGAGCTCCCACCCTCAAGTTCACCATGGACCCAGCCATCTAGTTAGGTGGGCACACGCCACTGAACCCGGCCCCCAGGGAACTCCAGTTCTGCTCAGGGGAGGCACTGGGTTGGCCCACGCTCTGGGTGAGGAGGCAAAGAGCTAAAAGGCCAGGCAGTTGAGAAGCCCTGGAGAGGAACAGGGCACAAGTTATGCAAATTGACTTCCTAAATTATCTTTCCTGTACAGCTGTGGGCTGGGGGCAGCCTGTGCTCTGGAGTGCAGGCCATGGTTAGAGCCATTTCATGTTCCAATCCTCCACGGTGCTTCTCCCTCCAGCTCCCTCCTCTCCCCTCCCACAGGTCTCACTCACAGACAATGCGGCAGTGAAAAAGCCAGGAGATATTGGGGCTGCGTTCCATCTGAGGCAGAGCAGAGAGGGGGCCCATCAGGAAGGTTGGGGCTCACCCCACATCCCCAACCCAGCCCTCGCTCCACATGCCTGCCCACCAGCCACTCCCTGGCTTCTGTCTGCTCCAGAGAACCCTCTGACCCAACTCACAAAGTCCACACGGTCCTCAGCCAGCCAGTGAAAACACTTGAGGAAAAGAAGGAGAGTAAAGAGCGCAACAAAGCGGGGGCTGAAGTCGTCCCGAAAGACGGTGAAGGCCAGACAAGTCTCAGTGACAGCATACCAGGAACGTTCCAGAAGGTGCTGGGGTTTGGGCATGGAATGACGTGGAATCAGATATTCTGCTCGCCCAGCTCTCTGCCCCTCACCTTTGGGTCACAAACATCTTACCTCCATCTCTGCTGCCCTCAGCTGCCCAAAGAAAACCTTGCCCATCACCTTGCCCAAGAGAAAGACAAGGACAAAGGCCTGGATGTACAGGACCTAGGAGTGAGGAGAGGCTGTTGTTTGAGGTCTCCCTCCGCTTTGCTCTGCCTGGGACTCATCATCCAGGAGCCCCCCCACATCCCCATCAGAATTTATTCAAAGTTAGGCAGCTGGTAGCTCCTTAACGTCTCTCCTACTTACTTACCTGACCTCTAGCCCCGCCCCTGTCTCAAGCAGACTCCTCCTTCCCTCCCAGGCAGTTCCTCCCTCCCTGAGCCCTGAACTCACTGCCATGCTGGGGCTGGACTTGGTCAAGTACACCACCGTGGGGTAGAACTGGTGCTTGAGGTAGTAGGCATGAGCCACCACGGCCCCTGTCAGCGCCAGGCTGGCCGCCATCATCACTGCGGTGCGGAACATTGCCCTGGCCTGGCGCCCTGCATGGGGAAAGGAGAGGAAATAACTTGCGCGATGCCCACACCGTGAAAACCTAAAATAGCGCCTAAAACGCAGCGTCAGTAAGTAGGAGAAAGAAGAAAACACCTCACGTCATCCTCACAATCATCACACCAATAGCACAGGCTCCCCCACCTTACAAATAA